TTTATTTTCACCCCGATGGGAAGAGCGTGGAGGACAATGCCACCTACGTGTCGCTCTTCATCGCGTTGGCCAGCGACGGCACCGACGTTAGGGCTCTCTTCGAGTTGACGCTCTTGGATCAGAGTGGGAAGGAGAGGCACAAGGTGCATAGCCATTTCGAGAGGACCCTCGAGAGCGGGCCCTACACCTTGAAATACCGCGGTAGTATGTGGTGGGTTCATTTATATTTTCATTTTCAAATTTTATTATTAATCTTGTTCTTTATTTTGTGTAATGTAGTCTGAAAAAGTAAAATCAGCATTGGGGGTACTCGGCTATGTTTCAATTCTACCATGTTTGTTAACTTGCGTGTATTTGTGACAGTGATGGGTTTGCATTACAGATGCTAACATGTTCTTTCACGGAACAGGTTAAGAAAACAAAAACGGGGAGCATTTATTGAAAAGGAAAGGTTTTGCATGGTTTTTTAAAGCAGTTGGACGTTTTTACTTTTTAATTGGTTGGGACGTTGGGTTAAGTTTTTTTTTTTTTTTTTTAACATGTACCCAAGGGTACTGCTACTCATTTAGCAGGAGCCTTTTGAGTATTTGAAGTTTAGAAGGTTTGAGGTACTACAATTTATATTTCCATGACAAGTACCTATCTTATATTGAATATAGCTGTTGTATACCAAATTGTGTGATCATTTCTTTATTTATTTTTAACTGGTAAGTCTTGTATAGTGTCATATGATTGAACTGTTTGTCTGATGGATTAGGGGTTCGTGGAGTGATTTATGTGGTGAGATATATCATCCATCGATAGCAGGGTGGTGAATAGCACGCTATAGTGCCACTGTAGAGTGGCTCTTGGCTGCGACAGGGGCCTCCGTGGTGGCCTGGTTCAGTGTAGTGGCCAGGATACTGCTGCCATTCTGTTTTTCAAAAAACATGTCGCCTATCTCCATCTCATTTGACACTTCTATCCCACGCACCTCTTCCAGCCATCTCTGACAGCTTGCATCTGTTCTGCAGTTGTTTGGCTCCCCTGTTCTGTAACTTCTGCTCTTGTCTAGGGTTGAAGAAGCAGCGGACAAGTTTCTGTTTTGGGGAGAAGAGAAGATGATTGAGTTCTGTGAGGAGGTGGCATATGGGAGAAAGAAGCTAGGTTTTTTTGTTTCTAGAGTCTGAGAGGGTGCTGGGCCAGTACCCCAAATTTGGCCTTCTGTACCCAAATTAGTCCTATAATTATGGAAGGTGTTCTTTTGCTTTTTTTATTTTTTTATAATTATATTTTACTTTTATAAAAACTATAACTCTATAAGATGCACTGTAATATTTAATATGTACAAAACAAAGAAAACATAAATACATAATTATATATTATTTAATACTATATAATAGTGTCAAACATTTAATATGGTAGTATAATAATAAATAGTATATATAAATATTTAAATAGAATTAATATAATAATAGCAAATATATAAATAATAACAATAAGTAATAGAATATACATATGTATATATTAAAAAAAACTTAAAAATTAGAATAGCGGCCATCCTGCCATATGCTGTCCTGACTTAGTGTTTTGGGGTTCAGCTGCTATGCCCTGCTATAGGGGATTTAAAACATTGGTTGCTATAATAGTAACAAGTGCTGTTGAAAAGGGATGAAGTGAATAATAATTGGAGAAGGGAGTGGGGGAAATTTTAGTGCCTTTTTGATTGGTATCTTTTAATGGGACTAGTGGTTTTTTTTTTGTATGTTCTGATTGTTTGGTGTTGGGTGTTTCAGGGGTTACAAGCGGTTTTTTAAGAGAACAGCTCTAGAGACATCAGACTACCTTAAAGACGATTGTCTGTCAGTGAGTTGTAGTGTTGGTGTTGTAAGGTCGCGAACAGAAGGTCCTAAAATCTATACCATAGCTGTACCGTCTTCTAGCATTGGTCAGCAATTTGGGAAACTGCTGGAAAGTGGTAAAGGAAGTGATGTGAATTTTGAAGTGAATGAAGAAATTTTTCCTGCTCATAAATTGGTACTAGCAGCCCGTTCACCTGTTTTCAGAGCCCAGCTTTTTGGTCCTATGAAAGATCACAATACCCAGTGTATTAAAGTTGAAGACATGGAAGCTCCAGTTTTCAAGGTTTGTCTAATTTGGTTTTGGTTTTTATTTGGCTTAATTCATTTTTGATATATCTAGTATTACAATTGTGCGATTTTGGCATCCAAGGTTTTAATGGAGCAATCTTAGTCTCTCAATTATTGCAATTATACGATTTTGGTTCTCCAAATTTTAATCAAGTAGTTTTAGTCCCTTTAATATAACAATTGTATGATTTTAGTCCCTCAAGTTTTGCAATTATATATTTTTTTACCTATTTAAGTTACATATATTATAATTTTCATTTATGTGTTAAATGGTATAATTTATTATCACTAAAATTACTAATATATGTAGCTTAAATAGGTTAAATTTTGTATAATTGCAATAATTGAGAGACTAAAATCACTCAATTATAGTATTTTAGGTACTAAAATTGTTTAATTAAAAATTGAGGGGCTAAAATTGCACAATTGCAATACTTAAGGACTAAAATTGCTCAATTAAAATTTGGGAGACTATAATTGCATAAATGATATACTTGAGGACCCAAAACACATTTAAGCCTTTTTATTTTGTCCACGTTTTATAATTTTGTGCATTTGTTCCTTGGTTTTGCTTTTCCAGTTCCATTATTAGGAATGTCTTTTGATGTACCCACTACTATGATCTGATTCATGTATTGTTCTGAAATAGGTTTGCAAAATCTGTTCGTAATGCTTGTTTTAGACTACATCTCCTCTGGGCCCTATGAAAATGACATTTCATTGTGTTACCCTTTTCTTTCATATGAGCAGTTACTAGTTTGTTTGGGAAGTTGAAAATTGTGGTATCTCTGCCAAAATAGTAGCATCATTTGCTGTTGGATGATCACTCATTTGTTGGCAGTCCACATAGGGAAGGCATAGGCCTTTCTCATTTAAATTGACAGTTACGAGCTTGCTCAGTTGTTTGTTGTTCCTTTGTTTTTAGGTTCTCCTTGGGAAACTTGTACTGCTTGCTTCTGACCATATAATTGTTATAGTTTGTAGTATCATTTTGCTGAAAAAGAAACATGAATTCTGGCATTGAAAGAAAAGACATTTTATTGTAAGAATTTGCATTTAGATTATTATAGGCAGATTCACGCTGTCTTTTGGCCATGGGAATAATTGATGTCTTGTGATATATTCTTTGGCTGGGAAATTGGTTCTTGCTAATCAGTTTAATTCTACTAGTTTCTTTTATCTAAGTGCTACCATGAATGTGATTTGACGTAATATAATAAATAGTTTATTTAATATTTTAAATTTTAAATATGCCAAGAAAATTGAGATCTTCTATTTACATCTGAATTTAGATGTCCTTAGAAGCAAACGTCATGGGTTTAGTTTTTTGTAATTACATTGTGGGGGAGTACATGGTGACTCTGGTTTCCATACAATTATGACATGCAAGGCTTCTGGCGGGCCTTGCTGAGTTTAACTTGATAAATTACACTGAGCAATATGCATGTAGATTATTTTGTCACTTGTGCCATTTCTCTATTTTTCAGGCATTGCTTCATTTTATATACTGGGACTCGCTACCAGACATGCAAGAGCTTACTGGGTTGAACTCAAAATGGGCATCAACCTTGATGTGTCAGCATCTTCTAGCAGCAGCTGATCGATATGGCTTAGAGAGGCTTAGGCTGATGTGCGAAGAGAGTCTCTGTGAAGATGTTGCAATTAATACTGTGGCTACAACTCTAGCCTTGGCTGAGCAGCACCATTGTTTCCAGCTGAAAGCTGTCTGTCTCAAGTTTATTGCTACCTCAGAAAATCTAAGAGGTTTGTTATTCTTATCTGAACTTCTATTTCGTTGCTTACCGAAAAATATAGTACAATATGGGGAGGGTAATTGTGGCACTAGAAGGTCTGAAAGTTAATTTCGTTACTATATCAACGGTGAAGCTTGTCAATTATCGTTGTGTCTCATTTTGTTTCCCAGTCTGAACTTGCATGAAAAAATGCTAAAGCTGTAAATAAAATAACATGGTTTTACTTCAATGTGATTTTTTCTATCTACTTCATTAATCCATACAAATACAGCTCGGTGATTGTCCCAACTCCCAAGTTGACATCAATTCTTGTATCACCAGTTAATTTTTACCAGTTTGTACCAGAAAACCTTACGAATCATTTTTCTGTTTGTCAATATTTAAACTTTGCTTTCTGCTTTCTTATCTATCTGCTATTTATTTTTTAATGAAAAAAGAAGACCGAAGTGCATAGATTATGGAACAATCAGATACGTCTTCCGGGATTTTGGTTTAACTCGGGGGTGGAATCTTTGGTACTCATATTTTATGTTTGTTTGTGGGGTGGTTAACACATCTAATAGTATTGTTATGTATGCAACATTACAAGAGTTTTGTGTTGTAAATTTAGCCGGACCAATTTGAACGAAATTGTTTTTAACCTTCATCCAGAAAATTATTATTAACCTATTTTCATCTTTTTGGTTCTTCAGCTGTGATGCAAACTGACGGATTTGAGTACTTGAAGGAAAGTTGCCCATCTGTTCTGACTGAGCTATTGGAGTACGTGGCCAGATTTACTGAGCATTCGGACTTCATGTGCAAACATAGGAATGAAGCAATACTTGATGGCAGTGACATAAATGGGAGGCGGGTGAAGCAAAGGCTCTAGTGTGAACACTGAACAGCTTTCTGTACAACCCTCTTCCTCTCTCCGTTTTAAAAGATAGCGAGAGCTTAGTTAGAGGGAGAATATATAAAATCTTTTATAGGATCAGAGGCAATTTTTAATTTTCTTAGCTTATTCATGTGTAAGAGATGTAAATGTAATTTGTGCTGTTGCTGTTACCGTTCTGTGTTTACTTAGGTTTCTGTAATATCTCAAGTATTTCTTTTTACCGGAAGTGTCGATCCGTTTGCTTTTGTATGCTTTACTTTTGATATTCTGTATGTTTATTCAATCTAGCAGGGCAAGTACTGTTAAACATTTGAAAGACATATTCTGATTCTATTCTCTATTTTGTACCAATTATGCCAATATAGCAATACTAGTTAAGCCGCCGCGGCCTTCAGACCAAGTTTGATTGGGGTTTTAGAAAATAGAATTTACCCCTTCAAGACCATGCGGGCCATTAATTGTTATGGCGTGAACACCTTTCATTTATGATGTTTTCTTAAAATTGGTAGTCAACTTGTAAATTTCCCCCTTCTTGCTTAAATTTATAGAAGTTTGATTATCGAATAGCTAATTAGGAAAATAAGGAAATTTGAAAATACTAAATAGTGTTTACCAAACAAGATATGAATTCAAGTTTAAGAACATGAGCTAACAGTTGAAGATTTTTATATTATTATTGATAAGAGAAGGTCCTAGGTTTGATTTTTATATAATATGCACTTGGGTCGGGAAGGGCCATGGAAATTTAAGTGTGATCAAGTTTTGGAGAGAGAATTAGTTTTATAGTTGGTCTAAAAGATTAAATTTGTAAGGGATATTTTGGGGTTTCAATTTCATGGAGAACTTGTCTCACTAATTTTAGTGACGTCTTTTTTCTTCAACCATTTTCTTTTTATTTGAAGTTTTTATTCGAGACTTTTAGAAATTCGATTTCAATTTTACTTGGATAGACATGTTAGTTCACATATTAATAATGTAATGTGTTTATTTTATTCTCATATCATATTAAAATATTATTTGATATATATTTTTTCTTTAAAATAGAAAGAGAATTTGAATTAGATGCTTATAGATAAATTTTTTTTTATCAAAAATCAAGAAATTTATTTATTTATAAAAAATGGGATGAATGTAGATTATATATATATATATATATGTGTGTGTAGAGATAATATGCATCCTCTACCCCTCAAAAAAAAAAATATGCATCCTCTTCTCGAGAGACTTTTTTATTTGAGTTAAAAACAATTATTATAGATGATAGAAATCTTTTAGAATATTTAATATAGTGGTACCCAAACTTCGCATTCAATATCACTAGAGGTATAATCTTATGTCATTTCATCTGCATGTTCAGTAATAGGAGAAATATAAGTAACTTTAAAAACTATGTTGTAAAGAGTTTTTATTTTATTTTGAACTAACTAATGTGACGTAATGAAATGAAGTGTAGTTTTAAAAAAATAATTTTTAAAAAATATTTGGGCTAATTTTATTATGACAATATATATGTTAAATTTTATTTTGTAGTAAAAAAAAAAGTGTCTGGACTTTGTAAGTGTTTCTTGTGATCCAAAGATCTTGAATCCATCAAGCATCTGGCAATTGGGTTTGCGCATGGGCGGGGGCAATTTCGGCAGAAGAGTGAAATGTAGTTATTATTATTGGAATAGAGGTTGAGCGTGAATAAGGTTAAATTTTGGCAGCAGCGTAAGCGTTCTGTTTCCCCTTTTCCTCTGCAAACATGGTACACATTCCTTTCTTCTTCCTTCTTTTCTCTTTTCATTTCGCTAACGATTTGGGTTCTGTTGTAGTTGTTCTTCTCCTACTTCAAGGATTTAGTGGGAAGAGAAGTAACCGTGGAGCTGAAGAACGATTTGGCCATCAGAGGCACGTTGCATTCTGTTGATCAGTACCTCAACATCAAGCTCGAAAACACTCGCGTTGTCGATCAAGACAAATACCCTCACATGGTTTCCCCTCTTTCTACCCTTATTTAATCTTTTTTCATTTCTATTACACGTTTCCTTTCATTGTCCGTACTTCTGCGATCTTCTGAATTTCAGCTGTTTCAAATTAGGGTTTATGAGGCTTTAAAATTTAATTTCGGATTAACCGATTATGGTTCAGTAGATTTCCCGGTAGCCACTGATTTTGTAGGGTTTCATTATTTATACATGTATATTGATAGAGGAATATGCCGACTCCTGTGGTTTCACTTCAAATACAAATGCTGAAGCAATTTTTCGTGGTCCGTGTATAGCTCAGCAACTTGGTTCTCTAAATATAATGTGTGAATCAGATTCACATGTGACAATACCTGTAACAATTTCTCTTAACAAGGAGGGAGTTCCATTGACTCACCCTTGTGCTCTTTTAATTTCTAAAATCAGAGCCTTCTCAAGCCAGCCATTTAGGCTTTCTTTCCATCATGTCTACCATCGAGGGAATAAAATAATAGATTCTCTTGCTAAGACTGGGAATATTTTTTCCTGCTCATATGTCTTCACTGTTGTTGGGAGATATGATGGGGATATTGTATTTAAGGAGTAGTTTGTTTGTTTGCTATTCTATTTTGTTGTTTCTATTTTCCCACTAATAAAAAAAAATATATTATTCGTATTTGGGTGTGATGTTGAAGTTGGAGGTCTGAGCTCACACTAGGCCACCTTTCCTCCCATTCCTATCCAGATGTTTACACCTCCAATAGAATCAAGTATTAAAAGAAAATAGTTTGTTTTAGTATTTTTAAATTTAATTTGTTTCAATTCTAGTTATCAGTTTATGGAGTGTTTAATGGTTTAAGGATTTGGCGCATCTTAAATGATAAGATTGTTATATAACCAGGATTTGGATTGTGTATTGGCGTGCCTGAGTGTGGTTACTGGCTAATTTTAAAATTTGAGTTTAGCTGTAGATTGTGGTTTGAATTGTACACTGGTACATGTGAATTGGAAGTTGTGGTAAAAGACTTCATCTCGAAGTAATGAGTTAATGGAACATAGCCTTGAGATTTAGCATATGTCCAATAGTTGTCTGTTTGTATGTGATTGAGAGGAAGGGGGTACAAGTTTCTCCTTTAAACTCCATGTGGGTGGTAATATAGTTTACACACTGCAAGAGTTTAAAATAAAAAATAGAAAAAAAAATTATGCTTTCAGTTTTTCTATTAATGTTTAATAAATTGATCTAGGGTTTCTGGATTTTATTTATGTACCTGTAATGTGTTTTTGACTTGATTATAGCCTGAAGGTCGGTAGAATTTTTTGTCTATTGGTTTCTTAGAGAAACATTGAATGTGAGATTATATTTGTCTGGTTTCTTGATTGTTTTTTGGCTAACATCAGGTTTCTCATTTTCATCGTTAGCCAGCCTGTCTTTTGTCACTCTTCTTCTATATGACTGTTCATGTGTGTCTATGAAATGGATTTCATTGAAAGTGTGGGTTGTATGTTTGCATCTGATAAGTTTGCGTTTGATACTTCAAGTTTATGCTAAATAACAAGGCTTAAAGGACTTATTAATTAAGGGGGGATATATTTTTCTTCATCTACATTTAATCACAGTAAGTCAATCAATTAATTGGTTTAATTCTAGCAAATAGTGGGAAAAGTTTAAAGATTTGACTCAGGCTGCTAATGCTCATTTTTTATGTTCCATGAATATGGATAGATTGAAGTGACTACAAGTTATATCTCGTATATTGTTGGGAATTGGGGTGTATGTTGGGATTGTGGAGTTCATAACTTTATATATGTTTGGTAGCTTTGTCTTTTAAAGGGGATGCCCTTATGTTTCAATTTTATGGCCCTGACTTAAATGTTATTTTTGTATGCCATTATGAAAAGATACGAATATACTATAGAGATTTTGATGGTAGAAAATATAAATACCAACGTATGCTGCGATAGATAAATAAGGCATGTTCACTTTATGGATATAATTGGAAAAGGATTATAGAATACAGCTTTGGGTGTGAGAGAACCAAACATTAAAATGAAGGGAAATTTGTACAGATTTCTCAAGTCTCCTGTTAAATGGGAGAAAATGTATAGCTGAGTTTTTTTTTTTTTTTGGGTTTAATTTTGTTATATTTAGCTCTCTTAATTTGTTATATGACCTGAATAGCTTTAATGTGAATTCGATTTTGATTCTCTTCATATTATAGTCAGTAACGTGTGACTATTTGGTGTCAGCTTTCTGTAAGAAACTGCTTCATCAGAGGGTCGGTAGTGAGATATGTGCAATTGCCTCCAGAAGGGGTGGACATTGAACTATTGCACGATGCCACGAGGAGAGAAGCTCGGGGCGGTTAATGTCGTCATCTTGTAGTGTATCTTTTTTTGAGAATTCGATAGGCTTCCATATGGTTTATGTTATCCTTTCTACTACAGAAGGAAAACTTTTTTCAGATGTTAAGGCTATGTAACTGTATTGCTTTTTTTCCTATGCTTTTGGAAGCTTTGTCCAGTTTTAATGTGACAAAATGTTACTGGTGTAACTGCATTGCTTTTTCCCTCCTCTGGTGCCTCTATTCAGAAATATCATCAAGTATAATGCATATAAGATATCACCAAGCCTTTCTTTTATGAAGTGGCTAATGGTGATGAGCCGCGTCACACCTATTTTTTTTCGGATTTGAACCCAGCAAAACAGGACTATCACTATGATAATATCTCATTTTATAATAACCTTTTTATTCCCGTACAAATCAGTGATTAAGCAATGCCCTAAAGCGTAATTTCATGTCCCTTTATAATTTGGCTACACTTGTTTGCAAGCCAGCAAAAGGGAAATTGTCAAGTCTTTTTTTTTTTTTCAGTTTCTGCCATTGGTATTGTAGCATCCTCGTTATATTTTGTACTACAATGTTAGTAATATATATTTTCTCGATACACTTATTTGTAACTCAAATTCATGTGAATCAACCAAGGAGGAAATGTAAGAAAGTGTACTTTTTTTGGTAAATGTGTAAGAAAGTGTATTGTGCTATTGTATATATAGTTTGTTTAATTGTATTTAGAACCTTGAAGTATTATTTTTAAGATTAAACAAATTTAACCTTATTGTTGTTGTTTTTCTTATTTAAGTTCTTCAAACTTTATTTTAACTTAAATAAGACTAAATTTTTTATTTGAATTAATTTGGGTTTTCTTGTCATGTTTTTTCTTGTACTATTAAAGATTTGGAGTATTGAAAAAGTTTTTTTTTTTTTTTTTTTTAATCACAATTCAATTTATTCTCAGCTCAAGTCATTCAGTTAGAAAGAGTTACTCATGTTTGGTCAAGAATAAGAATTGAGTACAATAGCTGATTTTATAACTCGTAGAGAAAGTTTTTGTAAGATCATATTCATGACCAAACCTTTTGTAAAAGCCCTCAGTCACAAGTCAACTATTATATATTTATAAAAACTCCGAGCACTCTTAACCCTAAACACTTATTTGCAGAACGATCAACAAGTTAAAAGCTTAACGTCCAAGTTTGATTAATAATCAAATTCAGCCAACATGTTCTATTTCCAACAAGAAGAAATCGAATCTACTTGAATATTAAAAACACGTGATTAAAGTGATAATATTAATATATAATTAAGGACCTAAATGATAATAAGTAATAAAGTTTAGGATTTATTTGAAATTCTCATCATTTATTTGATATTTTTTTAGTTTCAAGGAGTAATGTGACAATGCTCATTACTTCGAAGAATCAAAATAATTCTTTACTCTATTTTTAAAATGTAAAAAACTTTTTCACTATTATTTGAAACAAATTTAGTTTATAAAAATATATCATATAAAAAAATTATTTCACATCTGTATTAAATGTTGTGTTTATGACATATGATACATAATTATTTTAAATAATATTATTAAATGTTATATTATCCTATATAATATATTTATTAGATGTGTGACTTGCAGGAAAAAATATCTCCAGCAGAATGTTAAAGACTAATTTTTTCTCAAGACGTCAAGACATGGAAAGTTTTGTTTTACATTCAAAATCTTCATACACATGATCAAAAATTAATCCTGACAACATTTATTTATCAATTGCATTGAACCTTGTTTTCATGTGAAAATTAAATCAAATTATAAATTTTTTAAATGATTGAAAAATTGATTGATTCTTGAATTGATCACTCCATAATTATTTATGCAATATTTAGCACGAAATAAATTGTAATAAAACTTAAATTACTTCTAATTATGTATATAACTTTCAAATAAGATTATTTTCTAAAAACTCTTGATATTCTCACAATAATTATTTATGCAATATTCAACATGAAATCAAATTTAATAAAATTATTCCTAAAACTATAAAATAATTCAAAAAGATACATAACAAAATACTGTTTCTATATTTAATAATTAGTGAATGGAATTTTATAGTGATACAAGTGAAATTTAATGATATTCCATTAGGAAAAAGTTAGATTTTTATGAATTTAATTTTAATTTTTTCTTATATGCTGAATAATATTTTTTAGTAAAATGGTAGATAAAAGATGACACCTTCATGATTGAGGGAGTCAATGATATTTTGATAATTCTCAAATTAAATATTATTATCTATTTAATAATTAACTGTGTAACATTTTTTTTTAAATTTACTTATAATGTAACTAGCTTGATTGTCTTAAATTGTAGTAAAACATAAAATCAAACTCATTTAATATAAAGTTCAAATTTTGGACACTACTTTTTCATAGGTCATCACTTAGAAAAATTCTTTCTTTGTATACAGCAGTCGCAAGAGAGTGTAACTTTCATGAAGTCTTGAATATTTAATGAATAAATAAATAACATTTCAAAATAGATTTTGAAACAAAAATGTTAAACATGTTTCAGAAATTGTTTGTTTATTTTTTTGTCTTTAAGAATTATAAAAAAAAATCATCAAGAATTAAAAACATTAATAAAAATATTTTTAAAAACTAACTATATATTCAAGGTGTAAAAAATATAAATATATAATTGTGAGTCGCAATTGGAGAGACAACTCTAACACTTCATAATCATGTTAATGTTTACTTAATAGGTTAAATTATGTATCCATCATTAACCTAAAAATAAATCTACTAACCTTAACTTTTGGGCTCTTCAATTAGAAAATATTTATTATTTATTTTTGTAAAGTGAAAATATCATATATGTTGACAAAAAAAAAACTTTAAATATATCTTTCTCATTTAAAGGGAAAAAAATCTTCTTAAAATTTACTTTAAAACTCACTTATTCAAAGGACATAAGAGTCTAAATATTATTTAGAACCTTATCATTTACTCCCCTATGATCACACACTAACTTTAGTTTATGTACTTGTAAATGATCACACACTACAAACACCGTCATCTTATAGCCCTATTGTTTGATTTGACAATTACTACTAAAAGCTCTGGAGTTGGAAACCCTAAAAGCATGTTAATCTTTAGAAGGTTGGATTAAAAATAAGTGGAGTTGGCTTAGGAAAGGTATAAAAGAATTTTTTTTAAAAGGAAGCTCATAACTTAAGTTTTTCAAGAACTGTAGAAAGAAGCTATAGAGAGATTATCTCCTCCGTCTCCCTTCTTTCTTCTTCTTTCTTACTATAACTTTCCTTTTATATCATTTTCTCAGTTGATCCTATTAGTTGTGGGCTAGAATTCGAGCTTATGGAAGCAGAAGATTAAAGTTAAAGTTACATAGAGCACCTTCTCTTCTCCTCTTAAGTTGCCAAGAGGTAAGGGAAGCTGTGATTTTGAATTTAGGTATGCATTCTATGGTTGTGATGATTGTAATGAATTAATTAAAGGTGTTGAGTGATTGAATGATGAAGTTGAAAGGGTTTTTGTGGGTTTTGTTGTTCATAAGGTGTTCATGGAGGTTCATGCTTGATTCTTAATTGAATTGTAGTTGCATGTTGATTTTGATGATGAAATTGTGTTGTACAGGTTGTATAAATGTTGTTTATTGTGTTGCATGTTGTTGGGATTTACTGATTTTTAGAAGATTGGGCGAAATTGGGTTTTGCACAAATGTAGACTCTGATATTGCGTCGGACGCACCTTCTAAGTGTCGAGTGAGACTTTAAAGAGATGTCTTTGTCTCAATCATGCCGGGCGTAGGATCAGTGGCATCAGGCGTGAAGAGAGAGACTCATCTCAGGTTTAAATCTCGCCAAGTGTGGGTTGAATAACATTAGACGTGAGGAGAAAGACCCATCTCTACTTGGGTTTACACCGGACGCTAAAACGTGTAGCGTTGGACGTGAGTCAGGCAGAGAGCTCTTTGCCTGATCAAGGTCGGGTGTGGGAGTGTGGGGCCTTCTCAACCACAATCACGTTGAGTGCGAGTTGTGCGATGTCAGACATGAGTGAGATAGGGAGCTCCCTACCTTAATGGCATCGAGCGTCCAATGAGTGGTGTCGAGCGCGAACTATATGATGGAAAAATGGTTGTTAAAGTTGTTTTTCAATCGATGAATGATGAATAAGTTGTATAAATGGTATTGTAAGATGTTATATGTGTGGATATGTTGTAAAGTTGTAAGTTATTTTAGTTGCTTAAGCTAATTTCTGATATTATTCAATCAAAGTTGTGAATGTTGTAAGGATGTACAATGTTTATGTTGTTTAAGTTGTTATGTTGTAACGCTAAAAGTTGAATGTTGTATGAGTTATATATTGTTAAAACTGATAAGTTAAATGTTGAAAGATGATAAAATTGTTAACCTGATAAGCTATAGATATGTAGGATAGATATATCTTTTAAATACGATAAATAGAAACTAAAGGAGGGTTAAAAAATGTTTTTGAACTTAATATCTCATTGTGTGGATATACGTTGCGGTACTCCAAGTGTCCGATTGAAACCCTTTAGTAAGTAAGTTGGCCTCAGAATGGGTAAGTTATTTTTTAGTTGTTTCCTCTAGATTTTATCTGGTATCCTTGTGTGAATAAAGTCAAGGCACACGTGTATAAAACAATTAATTGAGTAAAGTATTGGGTTGGGGACTTAGCCTCTAACCTAATATCAAAAGGTTATAGTATTTGGAAGGTACTTAGTGAACTAATCCTATAGGTGGTTTAGTGTTGCAGACTAATGTCGTGGTAAACCCATACCCAAACTATTATATCCTGACATAGTATCATACTTCCTTGTTTAAGTGGTAAAACTTGATAAATCAATCTAATTTATGTTAGTCGTTGTTTATAATCTTGTTCTAACCATTATTTTTGGCCTTAGTGTTAGCCGTTGTTTCTGGTCTTAGTGTCAACCGTTATCTTTGATATTATACCAATCGTTGTGATTTAATAGGGTCATGCCACATAAATTGCTTATCCTAAGATGTAAGAGATCTTTGTAGTTGACATGTGTGACGACGCATTAGATATGATATATAAGTTGTTATGTTGTACCTCCAGTAAGATGTTAAGTTGTTGTGTTGAAATTGTTGTTCTGTTGTAAGCTTTATGTATATTTGTTGTGATAACGTTGTTTATAAGATGTCATGTTAAATTCTTTTTACTAACTTATCCTATATTTTTCTTGTGGTTAGAATTGTGATAATTATACTTGGAATAAAAGTAGGACATGATTAAGAAGATTGTTAGTACAATTAGAGGATAGTCATGTTGGAAATGTTTGGTTATAGTTGTTGGCTATTCTTATGTAGTCAGGTTTTGTATATGCGCCAATCGACATTTAAGTTTATTTTACTTTTAGTACTATATTTTGTATATAACTTCTATGTACATGATATTAGTCACTGATTGTATTATAAACTCTTATTATGATGCATGTTACTTAATCTTTCGCTACAGAAATTGTTCAATAATACATATATAAACCTGTCAGATTGGTACACCTCTCATATCGAATATCTTCTCACAAGTTTAGGTTAAACATGTACATTTAATATTATCTTTTCACGAATTTAGTCTCTATATGTATTTTTTAATTATAAATTTTATCTTTCATTGTTTTAATAGTTGAATTTTGATCATTCTATTAATTTAATAATTAACAAAAATAATAATGCATAAGACATATTATACTATCACCTTAACATATCAATATCGTTAATTATTATTAAAAAATATATTCCGTATAGTGGGAATAAATTAAAAAATATAATTATGTAGTGAACCATGATAGTGGATAAAATGTTGTATAGGACGAAGAAGGAGCGTATAACTGTATAAGCAACACGCAATCCAATATTTGTCTTTTACATATATATGCGAGCGAACCGTCCCATGCACTCTGCTCTGCTCTGTTCCGTCACTCACTCTCATTCTCGATTCCTTGGCGATGGCGGTTCCCGCGCAAACCAGCGAGGCTAACGCATGGGACGCAATCCTACGCCAAACGAAGGTGGCCGTGGAGGCCAACACCGATCCCAACGCCTGGGCCTCCGAAGTCACGTCCACGCTTCGCTCCGCCGCCATTTCCCTCCCTTCCGTCCAACTCGCTCACTGCCTCGTCTCTCACTTCTTTTGGGACAACCACTCCGCCGCCGCCTGGAAGCTTCTACACACCGCCACCTCCCTCAACCTCCTCCCTCGCTCCCTCCTCATCGCACTTCTCTCCTTCACGTGACATTTCTCTTTCCTTACTCCTTTCCGCTTTCTGCCGTACAATTTATGTGCATTTGTTGTTGGCCTACTAAATAGTGTATCTATGTGTATTTGAAAAATGTAGAATGAGCGAATTCGTACCACGACGTCGTTTTTGCTCAATTCGGCTTTACATTGTTCTCTACTAAGTATCCGTTTTTGGAATAGTTTTTCTGCGTGCTTGATGCTTGAGATGGAGAAAAGGTTAAATAGTTTAGGTTTACTAGGAAATGAAAGTTTGACTGTATTAGCCTCTGCATTTTTTTTATGGAAGCTTTGTTATCGTTTCCAAGGTTTTAAAAAACGAATGTGATTTTTGGCTGCAATGTAAAGGATTTTTTAGTAAGTGCCACTGCAATTATGACCGCAATTCGCATCAGCTGCATCTGTCTGCAATTTTCTACAATATCAAGAAACGTGACGAAACTGCAGCTGCAATGCAATTTGAAACCTTGATTGTTTCACTGGTTTACTTATTTAGTTGTTTTCTTCACTGGTTAACTTACATTTGCTGTTTTGTATTACTGCAGGGTTGTTCCAAGCAGACAGGTCTACCCTATTGCTTACAGACTTTATATGGAACTCCTCAAGGAACTTGGCCTTATGCTTGAACAAGATATCAGTTCTCCAAACTATGAAAAGTGAGGTCCAACTCCAACTGAGTTTGCAGCACAAGAATTTTATCTGTGTTAGCTTCTGAATATGCTTAGCGTTTTGGAATATGAACTGTTTCATTGCACTTGTTCAATTCAAACTGAACAAATTCCGTCCCACACAACCAAAGCCACATCTAGTCACTGATGTTGTATTGAGTCTTCATGCGTGTTTGGTTTGGTGTTGTGAAACATCGGATCTGTGACAAGCCAAAAGCTACAGATTTGATGTGAAAAATCGAGAATGTGTGTTGTAAATGTCAATTCAAAGACACCTTTCTTGTCTACATAAATTCTATAATGCAGGAATTTGTGTTGGTAGGAGGTTGTTGTGTATATGTTACTGCCTAATGTCTATCTTACAGGTTAAATACCATAGTAGCCTTGCTACAAAAAGAGCACTAGAATATTTAAAATGTTGTTTAGAGCCTTTGTGTCTTGGTGAATTTGGAAAATCATAGTTTTAATATTGTTGGAAGGTTCTTATATGTCATGCTACGGTCTATTTAATGTGCTAAAGGTTCATTATGAAAAGAGTTAAGTGATCATAAGAGAATAGAAATATTTAAAATTTCATACAAAGGAATTGGATGTATAATTGAAAACTTCCCTCAATAATGAATCATGCTTGAATGATATTTACATAACGAGATGAAAGCATCTGCTATCCAGTTTGCTATTTTGAATATATTATTTATCTATGACCATGCTTAGGTCCTAACCATTAGCTATCCCACAAAGGAAATTGCTTCTCTTTTAAGAATATCTTGTTTCTTTATGGAGCTAGAGTAAGTGACTTACGCAAAAGAAATGAAGTGAATCTGTGTATCATTTTATGGTATTTGAAAGTCTTGTTATGTAGGCTTTATGCTGTCAACCTGAAGCCACACGTTGACATTGCTGTTTTTAACTTATATTTCCCTCAAAGGCTCAAACCATTGACCTCATAAAAATAGGATAAGATTTAAGTGCAGGATATATAACGCTGAAAATGAGGTATTAGGTATATTTGTTCTATATATAGACAATGGTTATGGATGTTTGGTCAATATCTCAAGGATAAGTATGTGAAAAGAAAGAAAATATTGTGTCTAGTGCATTGTTGGCAAAAGTAGATTTGATGTCTCTTCAGATTTCATTGTTATCACCTGAGACTACATTTCATCATTTGGTATTAGATATTTATATTATCTTTTACTGCAGACTAGTTAACTTATTGACTGTTACTCGCTTTTGTGATTGTGGTGACCTAAGAAAACTATATCTAAATAAACATCTTATCATAAAGGAAATATAAATATGCTTAAGTAGTTTCTTTTTATTTTTAAGTGCGCATTTTCTCTAACTCTTTTTCAGGGTATGGGGAAGGTTCCTTGTTTATTTCTGAATACTAATAATGAAATTTCATAACAATGGTTCATTAGGATTATGAAATCCATTGATGATGTTCTTCAGCTTTCTCAAGTATACAGTCAAAAGTTGTGGGAGCCAGGAGTTGTTCTGGTTGAATTTGTCTTTTCAATTGTATGGCAGTTACTTGAAGCATCATTAGATGATGAAGGGTTACTAGATCACACTACAGAGAATAAGCCTAGATGGATAATCAGGTCAGATTATATGAATATCGATGGATCATTAGATGATAAAAAGAAAACTGAACACACGGAAGGGTTTCAGAAGAAAAATACAGCAATGGCTATCGAAATCATTGCGGAGTTTTTTCAACACAAAATGACTTCAAGGATCCTTTCATTAGTTCATCGGAACATGTAAGAACTTAATTCTGATATGCATTGTATTCGGTAAACCATCTAAAATACACATTTGAAGAATCTCATTAAGATTTTGAAGCCTTTATTGAAGGAAAGTTATCTCTGTAGGTCATCACATTGGGGGTCTTTCATTCACCAAATGCAGCTGCTTGTATCAAACTCTTCAGTTTTTAGGAATTTGAAACATATTACTGCAAAGACCCTTTTGCTTTTGACGCAAAATATCCATGAGGTTGTTCCTCATGAGTTCAAAACAAAATCTAAGAGGGAGACTAATGTGGTCATACCTGCTTGTTCCCAAATGTCTTTTGCTAGTCAATCTTATGGTGATAGTTGGTCTTCGCTCTGGCTTCCTATTGATCTTATCCTGGAAGATGCTTCGGATGGAGGGCAAGTGGCAGCATTTAGTGCTGTTGAAATTATTACTGGTATGCTTTTTTTTTT